AATCAATTTAAAAAGGCATCACATGCTATATCGCAGGTTACAATATTATAAGGGTGCATAAGTTGGACGGGTCATACGAGCTTCCTGTATATAGGAGCCTGCAATGTGGAACTTTTCCGTTGGTGGCGCAAGTGGCTAAATGCGGATCAAGACCTACCCAGCAGTGCAGATCAGGCATTAGAAGAATGCAACCATGAATTCTTTCCAAACGTACATAAATTGCTGCGCATCTTATGTAGGTGGCCAATTACCTCTGAAGAATGTGAGCGATCGTTCAGCACATTGCAGCGATTGAAAACTCATCTGAGGGCGACCATGACCAGTGAGCGAGAGTCTGGACTTGCGCTAATGAACATCCATTATGGTAGGCAAATTGGCATCGGTGCAACAATCGACATTTTTGCAAAGTCCTTGCAAAGATGTCGATTGTGGAAATTTGTGCTCGGAATTAAGGAAACGCCATTTCTGAAGACCCAAAATTCAAACATTTTCCGGGGGAACATGCCCCCGGCCCCCCCTAGTAAAGAGCGCCTCCGGCGCTCGATTGTCAATCGGGCAAGCAGTATACATTAGCAACCCCTCTATTCAAAAAGGCTGGCTACGCCCCTGCCCATTTCAGACCATGTGATGATACTCTTGAGAATTCTTCCTTTCAAATTTTCAAATAGTTGCGTGCATATGAATAAATAATTTTTAGATGGATAAAAGAACAATTCTCTAGAGAATATCACGTGGTCTGTAATGGGACAACAAACTGCCCAAGCGAAAAAGGTCTATTGTTTGTGTAGACAATCAGATGTATACTGCGTGGTGTACTGGAGATCACTGTCGCTATTCAATCCGGGATTCAAAACCGTCACAGGTTCAAATACAGCTCGGGTCTTTATTTTTCCTTTTTCTTTCCTTTTTATATCTTTTTTTTTTTCCGATGGACGCGCTCGTTTACTGTTTGTACCCCTTTCAAAATTGAGATAGAATTAAAAAAAAAAAAATCAAAAATAAACAACCAAAGAGGAACTGTCCGTGGTTGACTAGTAATTTCTTGGACTGACTACAATTCAACTCAGTCAGGGCGGTAAATCAGCATTGAGATGAAGGTCCACCGGATTAAATTTATAATTATTTGACAGCAGCTAAGCAAGGTTACCAAAATATCCACGTGGGACGATTAATATTTTTTTGGTGTTCACAGTAGGAGCCATAGTTCTTAAATTATTTCAAAACGTTTGTAACATTCTCAAACGGCAATCGCGTCTGCTTTGTCACATGACCACAAGTGACCAAGGCCCTATAGAACAATGAAGGCACGAGCAAAGAAAATTCACATTTTGATCAACCGAAACAAACGAATAATTTTCCTCTCTTACTCTCGCAACATTTTCGCAACGAAATATCGAACACTTTCTCCGTGTTTCTATCAAATTACAGAAACACTTGTGAAAGTTTGACGAACACGAAAAAGACGTTGAAACATTCGCTTGCGCCTCGCGTTCCCGTAACTCGAAAAAACAAGGGGATTGTTTCTATATTTTGAATAGTATTTCACGCATTTTCTCCTGAGTTATGTTATCATAAGAAAAGTGAATGAAAACGAGATTCAATCGCAGCTAATCCGCTGAAAAATTACTATAGTTATTTACTCCACCCTCCCGAAAAGAATCAGCGAAKGACAGAAAATTCTACTTAGAGGGCCCTAGTCAGACACACCTTTGTTTTTGTTCACATGCGAGCGTTCGGCTATTATATTTTACTCGGAGCATGTCGAAACGAAGGAAATCACAGTGAAACAACTAAAGATAATTAAACAGACCCAATAGAGCTCCTTTCAATGTAGATTAATCTAAAAATAGTATGGAATTTAGAAAGCTGTGCCAGTTGTCAAGAGTGCGCTCAGATTCAGCTTCAGGAGGATAATTGAGAATCTAAGCCAGCTTACGTTTTGTGCATAAGAACACGTGTTTACCTGGGTCCTGGACTGCGATAAAATCATCCATCTTGAATGATGGTGAATATGTTCATCCTCTTCTTGCTTTGTCCTGATTTGTCTCCACCTGAAAAAGAGAAAGATCACAAAGATTAAGATCAAATGATTAATAGACCCTTTGCATAAATGGCGCCTACATTTAAATGACAATACTTACACATCATTAGCCTCACATTCATGTAAAGAAAAATCCTTTGTCTTGAAACATGAGTACGAGGCTAAGGATGTATCAACTATTGTCATTCAAATTTAGGCGCCATTTACGCAAAGGATCTATGGCTGGCATGGTGTGCTAACTGGTTCCTAACCCAAGGAACCTGGCCAGTGTACTCTGTTAAGACACTTTACTCTCAGACGGCGGCTGTCTCAGCCTAGGAGTATAAATGGGTAACTACATTTCTGTTCTAACCTCCTACGTAGATGATCTTTGGGCTCTTCACAGAATCTGAATTTGCTGGGTGGAAGCAACCCTTTTACAAGTCAGTTCTTAAACCCATCTCTTGTAAAAAGCCCAAATCCATTCGATAGTCCAGATTCCAAAACAAGTCCTTATTTGGTATCTTTCTTGTGGGACCACGTCTTTGCATCACAGATCAAGAAACTCAGGAAGAGAATTTGCTGGGTGGAACCAACCCTTTTACAGGTCAGTCTTTACACCCATTTCCTGTACAAAGCTCAAGATCCATTCAGCGCATGAAGACAGTCCAGGCTCCAATACAAGTTCTTATTTTTCACCTGTTTCTTATCGGACCAAGTCTGGGCCTAACAGATCACGAAACTCAGGAAGAGAATTTGCTGGGTGGAACCAACCCTTTTACAGGTCAGTTCTTTTATTCAAGATATCTCTTGTACAAAGCTCAACTGATCCATTCAGCACATGCAGACAGTCCAGGTTCCGAAACAAGTTCTCATTTTTCACCTGTTTTGTGGGACCAAGTCTCTACGTCACAGATCAACAAAGTGAGGTCCAAGAGAATTTGCTAGGTGGAACCAACCCTTTTACAAGTCGGTTCTTACACCCATCTCTTGTTCAAAGCTCAAGATCCATTCAGCCTATGAAGACACTCCAGGTTCCAAAACAAGCCCTAATTTTTCACCTTTTTGTGGGACTAAGTCTCTGCCTCACAGTCCAAGAAACTGAGGAAAAGAATTTGCTGGGTAGAACCACCCTTTTACAGGTCAGTTCTTAACCTCATCTCTTGTACAAAGCACAAGATCCATTCAGCACATGCAGACAGTCCAGGCTCCAAAAAAGGAGTCTTGTAACTTGTTTTTTTGTGTGTGTGCGTGTGTGTGTGAGACCAATTCTTTGCTTCACCAATCAAAAAATTCAGAGAGAGAATTTGCTGGGTAGATCCAATCCCAATCTGGGCCAGTTCTTTCATTATACACATATTTCTTGTTCAAAAGGTCCATTTGGTACAAACAAAACATCCAAGTTCCTAAACAAGTTTCTTAGATAATATCTTGTTAGTGTGATTCTGATGTTAGACTAATTTTTTTTTGTCATATTGTACATCTAGAACNATTTGCTAGGTGGAACCAACCCTTTTACAAGTCGGTTCTTACACCCATCTCTTGTTCAAAGCTCAAGATCCATTCAGCCTATGAAGACAGTCCAGGTTCGAAAACAAGCCCTAATTTTTCATCTTTTTTGTGGGACTAAGTCTCTGCCTCACAGATCAAAAAACTCAGGAAGAGAATTTGCCGGGTGGAACCACCCTTTTACAGGTCAGTTCTTACACCCATCTCTTGTACAAAGCTCAAGATCCATTCAGTACATGCAGACAGTCCAGGCTCGAAAAAGGGAGTCTTATCTTGTAACTTTTGTGTGTGTGTGTGTGTGTGTGTGTGTGTGTGTGTTTGTGGGACCAATTCTTTGCTTCACCAATCAAAAAATTCAGAAAGGGAATTTACTGGGTAGAACCAATCCCAATCTGGACCAGTTCTTTCATTATGCACATATTTCTTGTTCAAAAGGTCCATTTGGTACATGCAAAACGTCCAAGTTCCTAAACAAGTTTCTTAGATAATATCTTGTTAGCGTGATTCTGATGTTAGACTACTCTTTTTTGTCATATTGTACATCTAGAACTGAAATGTTCCCAGTAACCTCTGTGATCACAGGCCATGTGCACTTACCATACTGCTGTCTGATAGTCCAGCTCAGTGATCGTTAAGATACGATGCGTAATTTGAGTCTCCAGAAATTGTTAGGGGTCTTCATGTAAGTCCCAATCCCTCTCCTCTTGTCTTCCCAGTGTTACAGATCCCTTGATCAAACAAAAAACAACATTAGTTTTAAAGGTCAAACTGATTCATCTGCCTAATATATCAAGTTAAATTGAAGC